GCTTTCCTTTCACCCTTATAGAACCAGGCTGGGATATGTTCTCGTATCCGAGTTGAAAGCGAGCGCTGGCTACGGCCAATGTACCTTGCTCCACAAGAGCAGGTGAAATGGTAGATGCACATGGAGGCGACCAGACGCGGAAGCTTATCTTTTATGGATACAGAAAATAAGCTTCTACTAGTGAAGGATATTCGCAGTTTTGCCGCGTTAAATGTTCTTCTAATAGTTGTTGTTAGACGGTTTTTGATTACATCCGATGTTCGGTCACCTTTAAATTCCAGACTTATATAAAGGTTTTTCTTTGGAACGGAACAACTAGAATTCTTCTCGCGACTACTTTTATTCATATTCTTTTCTATGAACCGTTCTGGGTAACCATTTTCCGTCAAAGTCTTCTTCAGGAATGCGAGTTCTTCGTTAATGCATTCCGTACTGCGTATGTGATGTATGCGATGGCATAAAGAATGGATAAGGTTTCTCTTCCTACTTAACGGAACCCAGCTATAGAAGTTGGTTAGCTGGCCATTCCATGTTTGTTTTCTAAAGATGGATCTTTTTAAAGAACCATTACTCTTTCTCATCAGACGTACATCGAGAAAAGGAATTGATTGGTCTTGTTCCCTTTCTAACGTGAAGTCTATGGAAGGGTGGCACGAGTTAAAGGTGTGTAGAATATCATCTAAATCAATATTATTGTCACAAACAACAAACGTGTCGTCCATGTATCTCACGTATAGGTGGAATCGATTGATCATTGGACGGAGTTGGTTGTTTTCTACTTTTGCCATGAAACAGTCTGCTAAAATTGGACCCAATGGAGACCCCATTGCGATCCCATCCCTTTGTCTATATATTTCATTATTGAAACTGAACTGGACATTAAAAGTACAGCGTAACAATAATTCTTTCAAGTGTTCAGTTGGCAAACCTAGATCTATATTGTTAGAATCAATATACTCACATATATAACATATTGTTTCGGTTAAAGGTACGTTAGTGAACAAAGAATTAACGTCAAGAGAGAACATGTGTTTTTCGGAAGTATTAACGTCCTTAATACGATCAATAAATTGAAAAGTATCATGAATAGAATGTTTACATACTTGCCTTCTGACCGGTTCCAATTTTTCCGCTAACCATTTGGCGATTCTGTGGTATGGTGAATCCGACATATCCAAAATAGGTCGTAACGGTAAACCCGGCTTATGTATTTTCGGTAGTCCATATAGGCGCGGGATGACTGAACCCATGGGACGCATGTGATTATATAAATCTTGGGTTATTATCCCCTTATTCTTAAGATTTTTAACAACATCTGTTAGCTGTTTTTCGATTTGTAATGTTTTATCAACTTCTTTAGGTTTGGAGAATTTAGTATCATCCTCTAGAATTAACTTCATTTTATCCAAATATTCTTTGCGGTCAAGTAGTACTACACCAGCTCCTTTGTCAGGTTTACTTAGGATTAAATCCTTATTTCTTTTCAACAGTAATAGCTGATCCAAGTGGTTCTTAGTTAATAGGCTATTCTTACTACAATGTGCATTAACGAATCCATGACTGCAGTCCAGTAATGTGGACTTAAAGTGCTGGAGATTTTGTGGAGATGTCGGCATAAGATTCGTTGGACAGGACTGTTCTCTGGGATTGTCTATTGAAGAAGGGTGTGCCTGAGAAGTTTATTAACATCATAAAAGCCCTATATACAAACACCTCAGGCAGAGTGAGGGCATACAACCACCTTTCTCCATTGTTCCATTCGAGCAGTTTGGTTAGGCAGGGTTGCCCAATCTCACCATTCCTCTTCAACTTTGCCATCGATGACATTCTGGAAACAGCTCTGATGGATGTAAGTAATGGTGGTGTGGATCTGTTGCCCGGAGAAAGACTTCTCGACCTTGAGTATGCGGATGATATTGTCTTACTGTGCGATAATGCCCAAGGCATGCAATCCGCACTTAATCAGTTGGCAATTAGTGTCCGTAGGTATGGTATGTGCTTTGCACCTTCCAAGTGCAAAGTACTTCTACAAGACTGGCAGGATTCCAATCCTGTACTCACCCTGGATGGTGAGCAGATAGAGGTAGTCGAGATGTTCGTGTATCTGGGTAGCTGCATAAGTGCTGGTGGGGGTGTGAGTGATGAGATCAGTGCACGTATAGTGAAAGCCAGAGCGGCTAATGCCATTCTGGGCCACCTCTGGCGCCTTCGTGATGTTAGTCTGGCTGTAAAAGGTCGGATCTACAACGCGTCGGTGAGAGCAGTTTCGCTCTATGCTTGTGAAACCTGGTCTCTCCGAGTTGAGGACGTTAGAAGACTCTCTGTGTTCGATCATCGCTGTCTCCGAAGGATTGTTGACATCCAGTGGCAACACCATGTCAGTAATGCAGAGGTTCGGCATCGTGTGTTCGTGCACAGAGGTGATAATTCAATTGGTGTCACTGTCTTGAAACACCGACTTCGGTGGCTTGGACATGTTCTAGGAATGTCGTCCCAGAGAATTCCACGCCGTGCATTATTTGCCGACTCTGGGACTGGTTGGAAGAAGCGGAGAGGTGGCCAGTGCATGACATGGTGTCGTGGTATTAAAGAAAGCTGCAAAGGAATGGCTTCTGTTGGTCCTTCACGACTCCCTGGCTGGGGTCCGAGAGATGGTGTGACACAGTGGCTAGAGACGTTATCAGATATGGCTCAGAATAGAAGCCAGTGGCGATCCTGCTGTAACCTTCTTTTACTTTCTTCATAAAAAGTGGTTGTGTCTCCCTTACCTGAAAGATTTCTTCTGATTGTACCTGTCTGTTCCGCCATTTTTACCATCATTATTATTACACAACCTTACATCAATCTCTTTCTTTTCTCCTTCCCCTTAAATTCTCATTGTTTTGTGTGGCGCATATATATTTGGCGCATTGTTGGACCAATATTTGTGTTCAAATAAATAAAGTCCTAAAGCAAGACAAGGAGCGAATTTATATGGACCATTGTGAGTGGTCCTGATTTGTCATCAAAAGTTGCGAATCATCGTTTAGGATTATCACGCCGACTCCAACGCGGTATTCTCAAGCTACTTAAATGACTCAGTCCACTTGTTACTGACTTAATGGACTAGTGCCACATCTTGGTTTAGCCACTTTTAGCTTACTGAAATCAACTCTTAAACTAGACAATATTCCCCGTCAACATAGGTGGTGATCGGGTATATGTAACAAACATCCCAATCACCTTAGTTGATAAAGATTCATTACATACATACTACTACTAATTCTGAGAATACAAATAAATTCTATAATATATTGAAATTTCGATTTATTCATACATCATTTTATGATAATAGAAAGAGACTATAGACAATCAATTTCATTTCTCTCAATTGATGTATTCAGTCAGAAAGGTAAGTTAAGGTGAGTGAAGTGAAGCGAGGTGAAGTAGCATGCAATAATCACTGTCGTAACAAATAACTAACTGGATAAATAAATAAATAAACCAGTGAATTAACCAATCAACAATAAATCAACGATTTCGTTGAGTATTTTTGAAGTTTCAATGTGATGTGTTTTTATTCTTCAAACAACTTCAAGTTGGTTTTCATTTCATATTCATAAAAGGACTGTGTTATACTTCAGTTGATCTAGAATAGTTTCAATATTCAGTCATTGTAATGCATTCAACATTTACGGTTATTTTCTTGTTGTTGTCTAACAGTAAATCAACGAGCACTACATATAGAAGTTTAATTCATTATCCCTAAAGATTTCGTCATTTCAATTCATCATCAATCGGTGACGAAATTCGAAATTATTCAATGGTTAGATGGTGTCATTTTCACTGATGAGACTTGAAGATCATGGATACATTTGTTTCAATGTATCTTGATTTTTGATAATCATTAAACTAATTTCAACGCAAAAATTTCCGAAATTCTCATTGTGGAAATTAATACAAGATATCAAGACGAACAGAGTTGTTTTAAACTCGATCTTTATTAAACTTTACTCTGATATACGATACTTCGTAAAACATTTATGACATATTCATAAAACACAATGACATAAACAGTTATATATTGTAGTTGATATCATGAAGTTACTGTAACAAAACAACTGTTTCGTCTTTAATATAAGACTTCTGAATAGTGTAAATCCACAAGCCTAACATAGATCAAGTTCAAAAACAAAACACCTAACAGCCTCTCTATAAGCTTTCGATCACTGAGTCAAGAACGATCGTTTTGAAATGACGCTGGAATTTCTTCTTTACACGAATGAGACGAGCATCTATACACGATACCGTGCCAGTGTCCATTCTACAGCACTTCAAAACAATTTTGCTCACGAACATGTGACTGATCACACTAGAACATGCGAATGTTTCAACGACAATAACAAACAATAAGAAATAATAATGTGATAGAAAACATGTGACACATCTCATACTTGTCAGACCATCTACTAGTTTGACTAGGTAAACAATCAATCAGTAATTTTATCAGCTACACATCAGGTTTACGTTTTTAACTTGAGTCAGCTCGCAGCAAGCCTCAGTAATGAGTAATTTCGAGAAGTAATGCCTAGAGTTCTAGTAACAGGTTATGATCAATGTAGTTCAGTTATATAGGGTCTGAGGCAACTACACATCAATATCACTAGATAATGATTTCGTAATGCTGTAAGTTGACTGACTGACTGACTGACTGACTATCTTCACAAGCATCAACCATTAGGTCCCAACTGGTTAGTATAAGGATTGATGTCTCGCCATCAAGTCTGAAATTCTTTGAATGGTTCATCAGTGTAAAATACTGAACAGTTCAATGCTACAATGAATGAAAGAGCCATTTAATGTTTCCTCATTTTCAATTATTATCTGTCTACAATCAGTCCATCATGTGTATAACATAAACATTTAAACAATCACTGTAATAAACAAAAAACAAACTAATGCTTACCAATATATTCTAACACTATACCTTTTCCATGAATAATATATGGATCTAATAAATTTCAATTTGATGTAAACTGTAAACCGTATACATTACTGATTGGATCATAAATTTGCCCAACTAAATATGATTCATCTGGTGCATATAATTTATTATAATCTATTGAATTCAATGAAAAGGATCCAGAGGAGATCGAAGAAGGAGAAGATAATGATGAATTGATCATTTCTACTTCTGGTAATTTTGTTTTTGTCTTTGTGGCGATTGTTTTCAATGTGGAATTATTGATTAAACAAAAACGAATTATTGGTATATTGTTAATTATACCGTCATAAACATTAGGTATACGATCATCCACTAATAAATAATCATGACTACATACAATTCCAGGATTTGATGAACATTCAGCATGTACAAACAGCATAAAATGTGATGAATTGTATGGTGTTATGAGGTTTATATCAATCCATTTCAATCACACTTGATTAATTCAGCCATTAAAAAACGGATAAACGCGTGATGTACGCAGCTTATTTTGACAGATATAAGTAGTATGCAACACCAAAATGAAATAGTGTGCCTGTTAGCAAACGTTTCAGATTGAATTACGAAAAAACAGAAAAGGAAACGGTGAGGAATTTCAACGACATTCGAATATGAAGAATGAAGAAGTATGTGCACGACAACTGAAAGGAGACTTGCAAATAAAGGACTTAATTTTACGAAAGCATTGTGATGTTTGACGTTATATGATAAATTGGTTATCCCCACAAAAGTGTTCGTTCAGTGCATTCGAATATTGTGTAATAACGTTTTATTGTTAATAGCACTGATTAACACTGACAGTTATTATATTTTCATCAACTGAATTAAATAAATTAAACAGTTACTTTTGACAGCCTCTACTCATATTTTGATATCATACTATGACGTTTTTCTAGCTTATTAGTACCAACGTGAAGACAGTTCTACCTCGAGAAATAAAACAACCATCATCAAAAATGCACAAGTATTTATAAACAATTGTTTACGTAAAGTATTGAATGTCCGTATGCCGGATACCATCAGCAACAGCCAACTGTGCGAGAGAACAAACTAGCTTCTAAATGAAGAGGAAATTAGGAAATGACGCTGGATAAGACATGTATTGCAGAAATCATCAAACTGAATCGCGATGCATGTCCTAATTTGCAATGAAAGGGAGGATCAGAAGCAGACATCAAAAGAATCAATTGCAATTGGAAAGGATTTTTCAGAACAGAGTTCCAGGAAGAATTCTGGTAGGGCGGCCTAAGCTCCTCACGAGGGTTAACAAGCGCAAATAATGATGCCAAGCTAGGTTAATTACATTAATTTTACATTGAAATTTATTCCAAACATAAAGAATGCCTTTGATGTAAAAAAAGTAAGCCCATATCAACAAAAATATATTTGTATATATATTTTGAGAGCAAGAGAGATGGAAAGGTCAGCGGATATAGGTAGTAGCAAACAATTGTTCAGACTTTTTAAGGAAACCGGTATGAGGAACTCAACTGTTGCGAAACTTTCTCAGAAAAAGACGGATACATTATACTTTCTCAATCCAGGAGATTGGATCGATGGGTAGAACACTTTAGGGATCAGTTCAACTGGCCTTCAATCACACTTCGGTTTCACACGACCTCCAGTCAACCTGAATGGCAAGTTAATTTAGGTCCTCCGCCTCTTTACGAAGTTGTAAAAGCCATAGGAAATCTGAAGCGAGGGAGAGCAGCAGGCCCAAACAGGTTTACTCCTGAGATTTTTAAGGATGGTGGTCCAGTATTAGCAAGAAAATTAACTGAGGTCTTAGGTAGAATTTGGGAACTGGACGTGATCCCATCTGACTGGTCTCAATCACTGATTGTGCCAGTCTATAAGGACGGACAAAAGTCCTCTTGTGACAATCACAGAGGAATCAGTTTGACTAATATAGTGTCTAAAATATTAGCTTCAATAATACTTCGACGCCTAATCAAAGCTCGTGAAGAGCAGATTAGAGAAAACCAGGCCGGTTTTCGACCTGGACGTGGTTGTATAGATCAGATATTCACACTACGTCAGGTCAGTCTTCAGTAATAAGGATAGTAGGTTGATGAACCTGTGTTAATCCTGACACATTGCTTTCCAGTGAAGGTCCAGCTTTTCCTTGAAAGTATTCACCGAATCATAATTAAAGATACGAAATGCCAGTATAAGGTCACCTCGTGTCCTACGATACGACAAGGGGAAAAGATTTAGGCGTTTTAAGCGCTCATCGTAAGGGAGACTAGAAAGACCCTTCACTAATTTCGTTCCCACACGCTGGACACGCTCAAGGGAGTTAGTATCCTTTACTAGACACGGGCTAGCTGCTTGGATACAGTACTCTAAATGTGGTCTTACATATATGGGGTATAAAATTCGAAACGTTTCCTCGTCAAAAGATTTGAACGCTCGGCGAAGTGACCATAACGCACGAAAACCTTTGACAGCGGCTGCTTTGCAATGCGCAGTTGTTTTTAAGTCATGACTTAATATTACTCCTAAGTCCTTATGCTCTTGAACGCATGGAAGAGGTTTACCCTCAATAGTGTAACGGTAACTATGACCGTGACCGACGTGCATTAGTACACTCTTCCTAGCATTAATTTCTAAGCCCCACTCTCGAGCCCATCTAACTAAATCGTCTAAATCAGCTTGAAGATCCACATGATCAGCCGCACTTTTTATTGTTCTCCAGATTTTTACATCATCTGCAAACAATAATGTCGACGACCTAAGTAACAGTGGTAACTCATTAACGTAGAGAAGGAAGAGCAGAGGGCCTAAGATGGTGCCTTGGGGTACACCACTTTTGACCGGCTTCCAATCGGATAGCGTTCCATTGACCCTAACTCTCTGTCTGCGGTCACATAAGAAATTTCCTATCCACTCATGTACAGTACCTATTATTCCGAAGCTCGTGAGCTTCTGCATAAGACCTACGTGTGAAACCTTGTCAAACGCTTTGCTAAAATCTATGAATATCACGTCGACAGACAGACCGTGATCTAGGGCTGCTGTCCAATCCTCCCTCGCAATAAGCAAGTTAGTCAAGCATGAACGCTTGTTACGAAATCCGTGTTGCTCAGGAGCTAACAGATTGTGTAAATCTATGTGGCTTAGCAACCTAACCCGAATTATCTTTTCGAGTAACTTAACGACTATGCTAGTTAGACTGACAGGCCGGTAGTTAGATACTATCTGTCGCTGACCGTCCTTAAATATAGGACTAACTATAGCGTCCTTCCAATCTCTAGGGAGTTGGGCGAGTGAGAGGGACATGTTGAAGAGTGTCGCAAGCGGTTTCGAAATAATGTCCGCAAGAGATGACAGCAACCGTGGATGTAACCCGTCAGGGCCCGGTATCTTACCAGGTTTGAGGTTAGTTATCAACGGAAGGACAGTTTCCTCAGTCACCTGTACGGATTCAATGGTTGGTATCTCGGTGTGAGTGGGACAAGTATTTGTTACAATAAACGTAGAGAAGACTTCGCTAAAATAATCTGAAAAAGTCTCAGCTTTTGCTCGATCTGATTCAGCTAGTAATTCTGAATTTTCGTGTAACAGCAACGGGGGAATACCATCACTACGTTTCATTTGCCGTTTAACATACGAAAACAATCGTTTCGGACAAGTACGGCTATCATATACTAACTGCCGTTCGTAAGTGGTACGGGATTTCGCTATGGTTTTCTTACAGATATTACGGTATTTTTGATACTCACGCTTAAATGGTGCATGACCTGTCAACAAGAATAAGTCCCAGAAATGTTTCCTACGCTTTAACAGCTTCCGGGTTTCCTTATTAATCCATGGAGGGCAATGTGATAGCTTACGTGCTGACCATGGGATAAACGGCGACGTTACGGACTCGAATGTAGCCTTAAACTTATTCCATTCATCTTCGATCAATCCATCCGCGTCGACCGACCAATCGGTCGAGATAGCACGGTTTCTGATTTCCGGAATATTAGCTCGCCAGATATTGGGACGGGGTGGAGCAGATACGAATTGTATACCATGTGTCCTAAACTTAAAGTGAATTACAACATGATCACTGTTCACTAGTGGAGGAAGGTGCTGGATATCAAAGACATCCTCAGAGTGGTGGGTGAGGGCGAGGTCCAGCAGTGACGGAACATGATGCAAATCAATATGTGTCGGTTTTGTGATACATTGTACAAGTGCACACTGAATAACGGTAGATAAAAGGTCGCTATCGAAACCGCTACCTGGAGCTGTAAGCTCTATCCAGTTGATATGCGGTGCGTTGAAGTCCCCAATGATGAGACAACATTCTGCCATACTCCAAGAACAGATGTGTCTTAGGATAAAGTCGTCAGCCAGACAAGACGGACTACGGTATATTCCCCCTATAGTCACTAACCCATTTCTAGATTTAATCTTACAACATGCAACCTCACATGTGCCACTGATATGAGCCTCCGATATGGTTGACTGTATACGAAAGTGATCCCTAACGTAAAATATTATACCTCCCCCCTTGCGACTTGAAACTCTATCACTTCTGATACAGATATAACCAGCAATGAAAGGAGAACAGTCTATATCAACGGTGAACCAAGTTTCTGTAACAACGATTATATCGGGACATAATTCTTGCACCATCAGACTTAGCTCGGACGTTTTATTTCTAAGACTACGAGCGTTCGTGTAGCACACACTTAAGGTGTTTTGGAAATCAATCGTTCTACCCATACAGGCCTCGGAAGCATTGGCTTCCAAGACCTGACTACCCGAAAACTCTTAATGGTAAGGTTATTTTCGCCATTTAATTTGCGAGTCCTCAACTCCGTAAGAGCATTCTTCCACTTGATTCGATCCTCAAGCGGCCAATCTGGTCGAATACGGATATTTGAGGCACGAGTTTTTTGTGCGCTTTTCAATAATATGTCTCTTTCTTCGAAACTCCCGAGAACCAGCTTCAGGATCCTTCTTGGTTGGGTCTCGCCTCCAACCCATTTACCAAATCGTATTACTTTTGTAATATGTACCCCTGAAACCTCTTCAGGTAGTACATTCCTGACCACAGACTCCACTAACTGTAGGTCATGTGCGTGTCTTTTAGCAGGGTCGTTGTCTTTCGACTCCTCTAGATTCCAAATAATTAAACTAGGGATGGGTTTAGCTTCTTTTGAAACTGTGTTCACAGCTTTCGACCGTGACGTTAGATCCTGTATTTTAACTACTGGTAGCTTACGATTAGTTTTTATTTTAACAGAGTCCTGGGAGTCAAGCGAATGACTCACAACAATGTCAGACGAAGCTTTACTATGAGACTTTGGCGGATTGGTCTGAGAGTCCACCAAGGACTTACCAAGTAAACAGTCATTAGTTTTAGCTACCTTTCCTACTCTTCTGCGTTTTCGCGTCATTCATTTTCCATCAGTCGAAACGTCTACATTAGAACAACTCGGGACAGTAATTGTTTTATCTGGGTCACCGGTTGCTGCTGTAGCAATATGGCCACCAACGTCTAATGACGTGTCACTCACTGATCGTTTCGGGGGAGAACGTTCAACTGTGGGTTGCACAGGTAGATGTCTGGCTTGCGCCGTGATAGCACTTACGACACTAACGCAATCTTCGCCATCCGTACCAATGTTATCAGTACAGCCCTCATCAACCTTCTTATTAGCCAACACCAGGAGACTAATTGCTTCCTGGATAAGCAATGTTTTGCTTGAGCAACAAAAACTACAAAGCCAATGAGAGTTGGGCTTTGAACACCTTTTATATGCAGTGGGGCTTAATCGGGTGCACATCTTATGGAACCACTTATTACACTCATCACATTGCATCCCTTCGTCCACGGGAAATAAGCAGCATGGTTGTCCACATTTATGAGTAGACCTAGCCATCTTGAAAATCAACTAGAACGGTGACAAAAACAGGATATGTAAAAGGATTTTCGAACCTTAACTAAATAAACCAAGTATGCTTCGATGCAATAAATACACAGAAGCAAAATCGAAAAATCAATGAAATATCACTTTAACTGGGGTAGATGCAATTAAAGTGTAAACAGTAGTTTTGATGCGTAATTTACGATCAAAACAGTTAATTAACTCAACGAGAAAGAATACCACTGTGTAACACGTGTAATCAGCAGCCACTGGAAGATGGGAAGACCTAAAGCCACAACACACACAATGTTAACTGAACACTCTACACCACAGAGAGAACGAGGAATGGAGGACAATGGACGTTTATTTTTTTAAAATTAAAATTCGCGGGGGCTGTACAGAAAGAGGGCTAGTTTACAAAACGGTCTTATGAATCATCCTGTAAGTTTAGTGCATGCAGGGCTTGCTCTTCTTCTTCCAAAGCGTTTATTCTTGCTTGCCCTGCAATAGAAAGAAAACAAAATGTATTAACAACATCATACATGATGATTTTAATCCCGTTACATCGCCCCCTCTCCTAATGAGGCACTGTCCTCAGTGCCTGATCTTGGGCACGGGTATGCTGTCCCTCCTTCAGATGGTACTTCGTAAAATCTAGTGGCCGGCGGTGGATCAGTGAGTTGAGCATCGAAGGGAAATGTCGTCCGATCGGGTTTTATCTGGTTGTAGTGCACCGTTATCACATCGTCTTTAGGTCGTTGTATGTTACGCAATACAAACGTGGTGGGCGATCGGATGAGGACAATTTCAAAGGGGCCTTGCCAGGGTTGATGGAATTTACTGCAACCCCCTAGCGACGTCATTGGGCGGCGTAACCAGACGCCATCTCCAACCGTATACCTAGGTCCTTGTGCTTGACGATCATATATATCTTTTTGGTGTCCACTAGCCTTGCCTAAGTTAATGTTG